GGCGGCTTGGGGGACACGGGCGGCGGCGTGCCGTGGGCGCGCTTCACCTCTGCGGGGAGGACTACGTTGTCACCCGGGTGTGCGCCCCCCCCGCCCAGCCTTCCACGGCGGCTAGAGGGGTGCTTCCATGTGCAAACCTGCTGGCGACACTGCTTCCGAACTGCCTGGGGCCCCTTCCCTCCTGCCCCCTCTGTGGCCTGCAGCAGCCGTTGGCCCTTCTGCTGTCTGAATAGCTTAGGGCCTCTGCACCTCTGACGCTGCAGTCTTCCCCCTCCTTCCCACATCTGGGCAACTCCAGTGGGTCAGGGTCCTTCCTGCACAGGCGCCACCATGGGTGGGCTTCTGTGCGTCATTCACTGAGCGAAGGAAGACAGCACTGTGTCCCCCTTGCCCTGAGCCCTGGGCTGGCACACAGCTGTGCGTGAGTAGGTGAGAGGGCCTGGGGGCTCTTTACCACCCCTCCCACCATGGAGTAGGGAGGCAGAGCCAGGTCCTACCACCCCCTTTGCCCCAACCGCGACCAGCTCCGCGCTCCTACCTGGGCTGCCAGGTCCTGGCAGCGGCACCTTCTTGGAGGCAGGTGTGGGTGAGCCCTGGACCTTGGCCACAGGCTGAGCCAGGACAGGCTTGGGAGAAACAGGGGGCTTGGCCGGCTTCCGAGCATCACCATCAAGGGGCAGTGGGGGCAGGTGCAACAGGCCTGTGGGTGGGGGCTCAGCAGGGGGCGGCGGTGGGGGTAGCTCAGGGGGGCCAGCCTGCTCAGAGGCGGGTCTGCGGCGCACGGTGCCTGTGCCGTTCTGGTACACGGAAAGTGGTGGGGATGGCTCTGGCCCCGCCTCCCGCTCCTTGGCCTTGGGCCTGCGCTTGACCGTGTCTGTCTCGGTCAGGGTGAACTTGACGTTCTCCTGCTGGTTCTGCTTAGCCCGGATGCGCCTCTTGAGTGTGGCGCTGGCCTCCACCCTGGCCAGGGGCGGGCCCTCTGTGCTGGCCTCACCCTTGGCTGGGCCTCGAGGCCGTAGCCGGGCAGCGCCGTCCTCTACAGGGTGGCCTTGGTCCGCGGGTTCCCCAGGGCCCCGGCGGGCAGCAGCCAGAAGCCCAGTGACAGGCCCACTGAGTGTGCGGCGCCGGTTCACCACCTCGCCGTCAGGCCCAATGGCTTCCTTGTGCTTCACCGAGGCCAGCACTGTGGCCACCCGGCCCGGCTCTGGGCTGGCAGGGCGTGGCGTGGGGTGGCCTTCAGGAGGCCTGCGAGCGGCCCGGCCCCCACCGCCGAGGGATGACAACTCTAGCATGGCTGCGATGCTCTTCACGCTGCCGGCACTGCCTGTGTCCACGCTGCCAGCCAGGTCACTAGCCCGCCTGCGCTGTGCCCGGACTCCCAGCCGGCCATCAGTCTCGGCGTCCGGCGCCGGCTCATCGGCCAGGTTGGCACTGGCCATGGCTGAGCTGGAGCGCTTAGGTGGGGGTGGCGGAGGCCCCTTCTTGCGGGGCCGCACGGCAAAGGACTGGCTGCGGTTGACGTTCTTGTCAGCGCCGGCAGGCGCCCTCACGGAGTGGCTGCGGCCCACGCGCCGCTGGACTGTCGCATAGGCCCCGGCTGCGCTGGGCAGCAGCAGCTCGTCCCGCTCAGGCTCGCTGTCGGACGCTGCATAGCGATTCAGGCTGTGGGCACGCTTCTTGGGGCGCCCAGGCTCTGCATCGGCCTCGGGGGGCAGGCACAACAAGGGCACGGGCGCTGGCACAGGAGGGGGCCCGGGCGCTGGCACAGGAGGCCCCGGTGCAGGGGGCCCTGCCTCGCCCTCTGCAGGCCAGGGCGGTACACAGGCAAAGCCACGATGCGTGGGTGACTGAGGCAGTGAGCGGGGTGACATGGGTCGCTCCGTCGGTGGCAGCAGCTGTGGGGTGGGCTTCACTTTGGCTGTGGCTGGGGCTGACCCGTGAGGCCCCCCGAGGGCCTGAGGGGAGCCTGGCCGGGCTTTGGGGGGCGGCTGTGGGGGCGCGAAGTGGGCGGCCCCAAAAAAGGCGGGAGTGCCTCCCGAGGCTTACCGGGCACTGGAGGCACACTGGCCCTTTTGACGCTGTGGCCGTGACGGCTGGGTCGGGCCTCCTTGGGGGGCGTGCTGGGGCCCGGCCCTTCACCCAGCAGGTACTCCTGGCTGCGTGACATGGGGCTGCCAGGCCCCGGGGGGCCACCGCCCAGCAACTCCTGTGAGCCACTCATGTGCCGTGCCCGTCCGCTCAGGCTGGGCTCCTGGTGCACAGCGGCCCTTGGGGTGGGTGGCAGGTGGTCGGAGGGCTTCTCAGCAGCGGCAGCGGCCCCCTCTGCTGGGCCAGTCAGAGCAGCCTGCAGCTCACCACTGAGCTCACTGTCCTGGAAGGTGGTCATCTTCGGAGACTGGCAGTCTGCCGGGGCTGGCGCAGGTGGGGGCGGTGACTCGATGGCCATCACCTCGAGCGACGGGGGTGCCTTCCGGCGCAGAGGCCCCCCTTCGTACTTGGCGCACTCTGCCTTCTGCAGCTCCGCCAGCTTCCTCACGGCCAGCATCAGCTTCTTTTGGTGTCCTGGGTGGGGCACAGGGGCTGGTCAGGAGGGCCCGGCGGCGAGGGCTGGGGCCGGCCTGGCGGGCGGGGCTCACCCAGCTTGGTGATGCCGATCTCCTGCAGGTCCTCCCAGGTGAGGTCGGTGATGAAGTCGATGTTCTCGTACCCGTTGTCCACCAGCACCTTGTAGTACTGGGCCAGGCCGATCATGGACAGCCACACAGCCAGGTTCGCCTGTGGAGGGGGCACCAGGGGCAGCGTGGGCCGCCTGCCCGCACCTGCCACCTGTGCAGCGCCGCTGGAGGAGGGGCACCAGCCAGCAGGGGACAGACAGACAGAGGACAGACGGACAGGCCGAGGCCGAGGCCGAGGTCGGCTTTGGAAACAGCATAGGCACAGCCTGGCAGGAACCCAAGGGCAGCTCACGACGGGCACTCACACGGGAGCAAACACACGCAGACACACGTGGGGCCCTCATCTTGGAAGACCATGAGGGTGGCCGGAAAAACGCTCCCTTGCCTGGCCAGCAGGCGCACTGGGCACACGCCCCAAAGAGACATTCCACACGTCACGGACACAGACACAGCAGACACGTGTGTGCACACGCTCACCTGCACGCCGCACCGCAGCCACGCGGGCACCACACCCTGCGCACACTCGCCCTCTCCCACCTCCCACCTTCAGGCGTGCAGCCACACTGCCACACTGCAGTGAGCGAAAGGCCCCGGGCTGCTCCCTGGGCAGGGCCCAGGCGTCCGTGCTCCCAGCTGGACATCACCCGTGCACCCACACTTGGACACCAGGCACCCAGTGCAGACTCAGACGCGCCATGACTCAGACGTGCTCTCGGAGAGGCCCCGTGAGCCGCTGACTGAGGGAGGCACGGAGGGCGGGCAAGCACAACCTGCCGACAGACCTCGAGCCCTGGGGGCTTTCAGTGGCCATGGAGACCGCCCAGCCCAGAAAGCCAGCACCACAGTGGCTAGGTCCTGGCCCCCTTCTGCAGGCCAAGAACCTGTCCCTCACTGGGGCACACCCTATCAGTGACAGTGCAGCCAGTCTGGGGCAGGTCGTGGCGCAGGTAGGCGGGACCTGGGGCAGCGTGGGGGTGTGCACAGCTTGTTCATCACGTGTGTGCTGGGTGGTGCTGGGGTCCCTGCATGGAGGGAATCTTCGTAGAGCACATCTGTGTAGATGGGCAGGGCTCATCTGGTACCAGGCTCACCTTGCCCTGGCAGCCCCCAGATGGTGCCACCCCTGCCCCAGGGAGGCTGGCCCAAGTGTCCATGACAGATGAACAGAGGCTGTCCAGGAGGCTCACTGCTGGTGGCCCTCCTCCACTCTCCTCTCCCGGGAGCCCCAGAGGGCAGGTGAGGGCGGTGGCCACGGTGGTGGTCTGTCCGTCTCTCTATCTGCCTGTCCTGGGCCTGGCCCCGAGGGTGGGGGGGCCTTACGGGTTTGTGCTCAGGCAGCCAGTCGGGGATGCTCAGGCCGCTGATCTCTGCTGTTATCTTCTTCCGGTGGCCTGGCTTGGTGACACCGATGGCCGTGAGGTCCTAGGCAGAGGGAGGTCCATTAGCGGGAGGCCAGGGCCCTCTCTGGCACGCAGTTGGTGGCTGGCCCACAGGCAGCTCACCTCGGGGGTCATGCGGCTGATGGTAGGCAGGTCGTAACCGGCGCTGACGAAGTGGGGGGCGTAGAGCTGCAGCTGGAACGTGGCCAGCCACTGGCCGAACGCCTCGGCGCTCTGGGAGGCACAAGGCACG